ACACCAGCGCGTACAGCTGCTTCACGTTCTGCGCGCGGCCAGAGAGACACAAGCTGAGGCGGGGCCCGGCCCAGGCCAGCCTCCCGCCCAGCCGAACCCCGAACCCCGCATCCCGCTACCTGGAAACTGCTAGCGTACACCAGTCCTTTGATGGAGCCCTGGCGGCTCTCCACACCAGCCAGCACCGCCGCCGCCGCCGCGTACAGCGCCATGCCGCACTGCCGGGCGCCTTTCCGGTTCTGTCGCAATGTCACGGGCGTCCCGGCTTCCGGGGTTAAAGGGCGCAGAGGCGGGGTACCGGAAGCCCCAGTGCCGTGGGAGCCTCCCAAGGCGGGTATCCGTTATGTTAGAGTAGGGAGGCGGGCCCTGGGAGCGCATTTCTCCACTTCTTGTTAGGGTTTCACTTTTTTTTCTTTTCCATTTTTGCCGATCTAATAGCAAACAGTGGGTTTTTACTGCTGTTATTAAGGTTGAATGTCTTCATACTTACTGGTCATTGGTACTTCTGTTATCATAACACTAGAGGCCGGATGCACGTGTTGTGCTAGGGCTGGGGCCCCACCTCGGAGGAGGTGCTCCTGCTGCGGGGCGCCCCTCTGCCTCCGCCCGCCCCAGTTTCTTGGGGAAGGTCCTCCGGTCTAATTAGCATATCACGCTTTTATTATTATAGATGTTAATGTGTTGCCCCAGGAGTCAGCTCACTCTTATGCCATCTTTCTCTTAGTGCCCTTTATATATTAATATCATATACTGCCAACGTAAAAAACATTCAAGCCTGTAGAGAATTTTTGTGAGTTTATTTGAGCCAAACTAACGACAATTGCCCGGAAGCAGTCTCAATGGATTGAGAATATGCTCCAGAGAATGGCAGTTTTGCAATTTATTTTATACATTATAATCATAAGAGGAAATATAAGTGGCTTACATGAAATCCATTGATGATAGACTAGGGAGGCAGGAGAAAGCAAAATGGGGAAAACTCTGGTATTGGGTAAAAAGTAAAATGATAGAAATTCTGAAACAAGTGTATGTGTATTGTAGAATTGAGCAAAGAAGTAACTATATTTTGTTAAGAGCCAGGCTTTTTAAAAAATATATATGTTATTGATTTCTTACAGAGAGAAGGGGAGAGGAAGAGAGTTTGAAACATCGATGAGAGAGAAACATCGACCAGCTGCCTCCTGCACACCCCCCACTGGGGATGTGCCCGCAGCCAAAGTACATGCCCTTGACTGGAATCTAACCCAGGACCCTTCCGTCCGCAGGCTGACGCTCTATCCACTGAGACAAACCAGCTATGGTGGGAGCCAGGCTTCTTGCGGTGAGAGAAAGGAGCTACAAATATAAAATGGTAAAAGGCAAGAATTATACGAAATGGCAATTTTCTCCAGTCTGTCCACAGGAAGGATATTCTCAATAACACTTCAGTGGCAATGAGCATACCTAGATTCCAGATCTTGGGTTCTAATATCACTTCCCACTAAAAAGAATCAGGGGTCCTTCGCAACATGGCTGAGTCCAGGGCTGGGCTTGGGAGAGTAACCTGGACCATCTTGTGCCAGAAGTAAGAATGTGCCCAGAGAATGGCAGGCACAGGAGCCACCTTGAAGGAGCTCCCACTGACTAAATCTGGTACAATTTGAGCATAAAAATAAATTACGATAGTAATGGATTATAATTAATTATAAAATCAGAATCCATGGATTTATATTGACAGAAATAAATAAAAGTAGAAGGAAAGGCCCTTACAATAAAATGTTAAGTAATAAATGCAGAAGGAATGATTGCTTTAAAATCACTATAGCAGTAGTTTGATTCAGGCAAGAGCCAACAATTTTTATAAGAAACAGGATATTCACATAACTTCAAGTAATCTCTCAACAGGTTACTTTATTTAAAACAAAGTGGGGCCCTACCCTCTTTGGCTCAGTGGATAGAGCGTCGGCCTGTAGACTGGAGGGTCCCGGGTTTCAATTCCGGTCAGGGGCATGTGCCTTGGTTGCGGGCACATCCCAGGTGGGGGGTGTGCAGGAGGCAGCTGGCCGATGTTTCTCTCTCATCGATGTTCCTGACTCTCTATTCTTCTCCCTTCCTCTCTGTAAAAAATCAATAAAATATATTTTTTTAAAAAGTGGGGAAAGTAACTGTACAGTAGAAAAAGTTGGAGGACATGTCCAGAACTTGGTGATCAAAATTAACATTGCCAGCCCTAGCCAGTTTGGCTCAGTGGATAGAGCACTGGCCTTCGGACTAAAGGGTCCTGGGTTCAATTCCAACCAAGGGCACATGCCCAGGTTGTGGGCTCAATCCCCAGTAGAGGGCATACAGGAGGCAGCCAATCAATGATTCTCTCTCATCATTAATGTTTCTATCTCTCTCTCCCTCTCCCTTCCTCTCTGAAATCAATAAGATATTTTAGGGGAAAAAAGTAACATTGCCAATATGGGAGCAAGTCACAATCTCCGGCCAGTTGGTAGCATCACTTCCGCAGTATTCCTGCCATCTATGCATAACCTGAATCAAATGAAGTATTAAACACACCCAAATCGAGGGACATTCTACAAAATAATTGGTCCCATCTCTTCAAAATGGCAAAGTTGAGAGGACAAAGAAAGACTAAGACTGACCCAGATGAAGGAAAGCTAAAGAGACATGACAACTGAAATGTAACTGGTGATCTTGGATTGGATCCTGGACCTGGAATAGTCTTATAACAGAGGACAAGGAGGACAATGGGTGACATCTGAATAATGTCTGTAGGCTGGATAAGTGTTTTATCAATGTTAATTTCCTGATTTTGACACATTTGCATTGTGGTTATATAAGAGAATGTCTTTGATTTAAAAAAATTTTTAATTAAAATTAAAAGGTTTTGCCCTAGCCGGCTTGGCTCAGTGGATAGAGCGTCAGCCTGCAGACCGTGAAGCGTCTCGAGTTTGGTTCCGGTCAAGGGAACATGCCTGGGTTGCGGGCTCGATGCCCAGTGTGGGGTGTGCAGGAGGCAGCTGACTGGTGATTCTCATCTTGGATGTTCTATCGCTCTCTCCCTCTCTGAAATCAATAAAGATATTTTTTTTAAAAAAAAGATCTTTTGATTGCAAACACTAACTCTGGCTAGCCAAACAGAATTTATTAAATAGGTGTCTGTCTGAAGGCAGGAAGATGCGCACAAAAGAGTAGTTGAGGACATTTTAAAGAAGGGACTGGTTAGAGTTAAGAGAACTTACAGGGGATGGTGCAGTACTCAGGGCTAGCAGCAGCACTATTCACCAGCAGGCCCGAGGAACAAGGAAAGAGTAACAGAAGGAGGGAGCCACCTGCCAGGACAGCTTCCCTTAAGTAGAGGGAAGCTGCTAACCCATAGGCCAGCAGGCAGGAAACCAGGAAAATAAATACCTCAAACCCCTTCTCCTGCCCTTGGATCTCCTGCCAGTCCCTCCCATCAGCTGAGCCCAGCAGAAGCCAAAGAGTTTTGTGTTCCATCAGGGCCAGCCTCCCAGGACACAGAGCAGGATGAAGAAGAGTGGAGCGTGGCTTTGGAGGGGTGACACTCCGGCCCAGGCCTAGGACGGAAGGAACTGCTGCATATCCAAAAACAAGGTCTGAAAGGTTTCAAGCACACAGGGCCCAGGGCCAGCACCTGGCAGATTCAGCCAGTAAGATACAAACACCATTTGATTCAAACAGTTTATTACTTACATCGAAAGCAGAAGGAAAATTAGCCAAAAGTGCCAGGTCCAGGTGGTCCTTGTTGTACACATAGAAAAGGATGCCATGGAAATCAAAGGGTTGATGACTGCAACACCAGTTGTGGGATATGCTGTCGCTGAGGAGCCAGTTCTACACTCCGCTAAGCTGTTCTGTAGTCTGCAACTCTGCTTGGAGGGAGATGGAGCAAACAGCCTCATTCTTCATCAGAGCCTAGGAGGCTCCTGGGAGATAAGGAGGTGGGTGGACATGGCCTTGAGGTAGCACCTCACAAGCCTCCCATCCTCTCCTGTTCCTGGAGGATCACTCAGGCTGTCGGTCAAGCCTTTGCCTGTGTGGCCTATGTGGATACTTGCCATGGCACCATAATGGAGCTCTTCCCCATGGAAGGCTCTCAGGTGGCTTCACAGACCTCAAATCTGGGGAGCTTTCTAAACTTTTAGAGTCTAAAGCACCAGGTCTCAGGTGACTGGGTCCTCAACCATGTTCTCTCTCCCAGTGTTCAGATTCTTGGGAGAGACACCATCAGTTGTGGCCAGGAGCAGGCTCACCATGAACATTCATGGGCTCTGGCCCCCCTCCATGTGCATGGCAGCTTTCAGGGATGCGCTGAACCCCTGACTGGTTCCAACTTGCTTCTGCTTTAAAGTAGTGTCATTTCCATCTCATCTCACTGAGAGGGTAGTCAAGAGAGTCTTTAAGGACAGAGCAGTGATGGAATGGTTGCTGTGACTCTAACCACAGAACAAAGGGCAGTGGGTAGAAGCAAACTCTGGCCCCAGTAGAGGTTGGAGATCCAAGAATAAAGCAATTCTGTACAGCAATTCATATTTGCAAATCATTTAAAGAGAAATAGGGACAGGAAGGCAGAGGTGGGTGGAGGTGAGCAAAGGGCAGGAAAAAGGGGAACACCTGCAATTTTGTCAACATTAAAAATAAAAAATAA